GATAGCCGGTGAAGTGACTCACAGCCTTCTCCTTCTCTTCACCTCTTGTCCAGCACTGAGTGTTCCTCAATGATACAGCTAGTGGTGCTGATGTGATGAGGTCAGCACTGCTCTCTGCATCATCACTCACTATGAATGCAGGGTGCTTGGTGATCATGACACCTTCCACTCACAGTATGTTCTCTGAATGGCATCATTCAGCCTGGAACACTAAAGACAACTTGTGATGAAAAGTAATTACTGCAGAGGACAGCACCAGGAAGAAGGTGAGTTTTGCAGTGAGAGCTGCTTCTTCATTTTCAGACTGCTTGGGAGACCAAAACTACTTCAGCTCTAGGCCATTTCTGGCACTTGTTTACATGTTCAAATCAGTATTTTTTACTAGAAAATTTCTCAGAACCCCAAACATTATATATTTTTTAAAAGCAGAAACCTTAGAGAATAAATTGGTGATTTTTGCATTTTTTATGTCACACAGTATTTGCGCAGTGGTTTTTCAAACTAAATTTTTGTGGGAAAAAATATATATTTTTCATTTTATTGCAAAAAAACGCAATACATAACCACACTTTTTTGTGAAATATAGCCCTTTGATCACCCTAGATGTTAACCCCTTCCTGCCCAGTGTCATTAGTTCATTGCCAGTGCTTTTTATTAGCACTGATCACTGTATTAGTGTCGTTGGGATGTCAGTGGCAGTTAGTCAGTTCCCAACCAGTGTCAGAATGCCTGCCACAGTCCCGCTATAAGTCGATGATCATCGCCATTATTAGTATAAAAAAATTAAAATTCCAGTATACAGTATATACCGCCATTTGTAGACACTATAACTTTCATGTAAACCAATTAATTTGCATGTATTGGGATTTTTTTTTAGCAAAGACATGTAGCAGAATACATTTTGGCATAAATTTATGACAAAATTAGATTTTTAAAATTTTCTTTTTACCAGATATGTTTTATAGCAAAAAGTCAAAAATACTGTTTTTTTCTTCAAAATTTTTAGACTTTTTTTGTTTATAGCTCATAAAATAAAAACACACAGGTGATAAAATACCACCAAAAGAAAGCTCTATTTGTGGGAAAAAAAAGGACTTAATTTTATTTATGTACAGCGTTGCACGACCGCATAATTGTTGGTTAAAGTAACGCAGTGCCGTATTGCAAAAAATGGCCTGGTCAGGAAGGGGGGTAAATCCTCTGGAGGGCAAGTGGTTAAAGTGGCAACAAAGCGTTAAATATTCTTAGCGAGCAGTTATTGTGCTTAAAAAACAAGTCCTCACTGGCCTCTCTAACTGTAGGCACCATGGAGTAGTTCACCCTCATATTTCATAGCAGATTCACTGAAGTTATTCATGTCGCTCACTCAACAGTTCAGCTCAACCTGCCCCCCCTTTCCTTATAACCTACTCTGTGCTTACATGCCTGAATAAAAGACTGGAAGGCTGCTGAGACAGGAGAACAGAGGGATCTGAGCTGGCTTGTGTGTTCATTTATCCACAGTGTCTGCAGCTACAGAGGTCAGTGAGGGCTTCTTTTAAAGGTCTGTTAAGACATTCTAAGTATTTAAATGCCCGTAGCCTGGACACAAATTCACATTAAAGCAATAGTGAATAATAGCACAAAAAAGCAATTATATGCCGCAAAGTAACTTTAAACGTAATAGAAATGTTTCCTTATTTTGCTGTGACCTTGTGAGAATGTCTTCCTCCTTGTTGCATGACATTCAGGCTGTCTCTCTTGGATCATACAAGGAGCCGGAGAGAAGACTGCTTCCCTCCTCTTGTCCTGGACAGACCTCCCCACCGCCAGACTGCACGGAATCTAGGCGACAGCCAGATCAGCTGCCAGCTCATAAATCTACAGCTAATCTGAAGCAATCAATAATTTTCATTAGGAACCTGTGAGAGGCACCATTAGAGGGACAAATCTGTTTAACCTGACACCTTGATGAAGTTATTTGGTGCTGGGGTTTAAGTCATTGAAAGGTAATAAAGAGCTAAGAGGGATGGGGAGCGCCGCTCTGATGCCACGCTGGGAATATTTACTGATTCCGGATCTGAGAGGGACTGATGAGACAAGACACTGGTGGAAAAGTGCAGGCTGACCGCCTTATGAAACCGTGAAGATGGATGCTTGTGTTCTTCATCACTGAGCAGACCAGATCATTTTTAAAGAGAATCCAAAGGATGTTTAGTTATTTTTAGATATACTCTGTATGTGTTTGCGATTATCATAGGTGGGCTCCACATACAACTGATTTTTCACTCAAGCATTGTTGCTGGTGTGTATTAGATGCTAGATGATTGGTCAGACTGATTAAAAAAACACATACTTAAGAATATCTCCTTAACCACTTGAGCTCCTGAGGATTTACCCCCCTTACTAACCAGGCCTCTTTTTGCTACTTGGCGCTGCACTAATTCAACTGATAATTGCGCAGTCATGCAATGCTGCACCCAAACAAAATTTACGTCCTTTTTTTCACACAAATAGAGCTTTCTTTCGGTGTAATTTGATCACCTGTGCGCTTTTTATTTTTCACGCTATAAACAAAAAAAACGGCAAAAATTTTGAAGAAAAACAATATTTTTTATTTTCAGCTATAAAAAATATATAGTAAACTCAAAGTTGGTTATAAATTTAGGCCAAAATGTATTCTGCTCCATGTTTTTGGTAAAAAAATCCCAATAAGTGTATATTGATTGCTTTGTGTGGAAGTTATAGCGTCTACAAACTATGGTATAAATACTGCAATTTACACCATTTTTCTGCTATACAGCGCTGCGCTAGTTTAACGGACAATTGCGCGGTCATGCAATATGGTACATAAATGAAATTTACATCTTTTTTTTCCCCACAAATTGAGCTTTCTTTCGGTGGTATTTGATCGCCTGTGCGGTTTTTTTATTTTTTGCGCTATAAAAAAAAAAGGCTGACAATTTTGAGGAAAAAAAAACAATATTTTGGACTTTTTGCTATAAAACATGTCCAGTAAAAAAAAAATGCAAAAATCAAATTTAGTCATAAATTTCTGCCAAAATGCATTCTGCGACATGTCTTTGCTAAAAAAAAACCCAATATGTGTAAATTAATTGGTTTACGTGAAAGTTATAGCGTTTACAAATGGCGGGAAAGATACTGGGATTTTTAGGGTTTTTTTTTTTATACTAATAATGGCGGTGATCAGCGAATTATGGCGGCGATCAGGGACTTATGGCAGCGACCAGCAACTTATGGCGGGACTGCGGGACTGCGGGACTGCGGCGGACATTCTGACATTGGGGGGTACTGACTTGGGGTCACTGACATCCCCAAAAACACTAATACAGTGATCAGTGCAAAAAAAAAAAAAAAAACTGACACTGTACTAATGGCAATGGGGAGGAAGGGGTTAACTTTATTTAGCAGGGAAGGGTTATAGGAGTGAGGGGAGTGTTTTACTAGGGGGCGGAGGTGTGTACTGGGCGGGACAAGGCTGATCGAGAAAGTGAAACTATTCTTTCTCGATCAGCTCATCCTCGAGCTGACAGAGGTGACAGACAGCACAGCTGCTGCAGCTGTGCTCTCTGTCACCGTTTACCGCCGATCGCCGGGACATAGCCGCTAACGAGTGGCTGTGACCCGGCAACTGACATCTGCGGCGGTGATCCACAGGACAAATAGGGCGGCAGCGCACTCGCGCGCGCCCCCTATTTTGTTTACAAAACGTACGTTTTAAAACGTGGTTTTGCCTGTGAGTGCCGCCCTGCCACCGTATATGTACAGTGGCTGGGCGGCATGCGGTTAAAAAATAAAAAAATCTAAAAAAACATTCTTGCTCAAAAATGTAACCCAAAGCCAGACATCCATGTTACAATCGATTGTATGCTCTATGTACAATCTCCTTTAGCCTGATGCAAAGGGAAAAGCGAGTTGCAAAATGAAGTGCGTTTGCCGGAATTGGAAAACATGGGTATGAACACCCATACAAACTGATTCCAGTGCAGCAAAAAAAAAAGGTGCTTGCACCTTTTCCTTGCAGATGCAGTGAGATTTGAGCCATATAAAATGGATGTGGTGCGATTCCTGTGCGAATCACATGCAGCTCCACAGTGTGAATCAAGGCTTCAATTTGCCATATTTAATGCAAAGGCCTAGCTAAGTAATCAGTTCAGTTTTTCTTCCACTACATATCTAAAGGAGATTGTACAATATGATGATAAAGTATATGGTCAGTTTAAAGTGGTATTAACCACTTGCCCTCCAGAGGATTTACCCCCCTTCCTGACCAGGCCATTGTTTGCGATATGGCACTGCATTACTTTAATTGGCAATTGCACGGTCATGCAACGCTGCACCCAAATAAAATTTATGTCCTTTTCCCCACAAATTTATTTATTTCAGGTACTTATATAGCGCTGTCAATTTACGCAGCGCTTTACATATTTATTGTACATTCACATCAGTTCCTAACCCTCAAGGGGTGTACAATTTAAGGTCCCTAACTCACATTCATACACACACATACTAGGGCCAATTTAGACAGGATTCACCAATTCACCTACCAGCATGTCTTTGGAGTGCCCGGAGGAAACCCATGCAGGCACAGGGAGAACATGCAAACTCCAGGGAGGTGGTGCAGTGGTTGGGATTCGAACCAATGACCCTAGTACTGCCAGGCAGAAGTGCTAATCATTTGGCCACTGTTCTGCCCCCACAAATAGTGCTTTCTTTCGGTGGTATTTGATCAGCTGTGTGTTTTTTATTTTTGTGCTATAAACAAAAAAAGACTGACAATTTTGGAAAAAAAAAAAAATTTTACTTTTTGCTATAAAACATGACCAGTAAAAAAAAAAACAACAACTAATTTTGTCATAAGCCAAAATTTATTCTGCTACAAAAAAATCCCAATACATGTAAATTAATTGGTTTACGTAAAATTTATAGTGTTTACAAATGGCTGTATATATACTGGGATTTTTATTTTTTTTATGCTAGTAATGGCGGCGATCAGTGACTTATGGCGGGACTGCAGCGGGCATTCTGACACTAGGGGGGGAACTGACTTGGTGTCACTGACATCCCAATGACACTAATACAGTGATCAGTGCTAATAAAACGCACTGACACTGTACTAATGACACTGGGCGGGAAGAGGTTAACATCTGGGACAATCAAAGGGTTAACTGTGTGCTGTGTGTGTTTTACAACATGTGCTGTGTGTGTTTTACTAGGGAGACATGCTGCTGTGTATTTCTCTGCTGTGCAGAGAAGTACACAGCAGCATGTTACTGTTGGCAGAAGGGAGACCTGTGTTGTTAACACACAGATCTCTCCCCTGTCAGTGTTACTCAGCAGGTGTCGTTGAGAATCTCCGGCTGGGACCCAGTGTCATCTTACCTGGAAATGGAAATTACATATATATACATGAGTTTGCGCAGCCCTGCTGCCCTGTAACAGTATTTCTGCTATAGGGCGGCAGGCAACTAGTTAAATTCAAACTAGTTGTTATATTTGCACTTGCCAGTTCATAGATGTGATGGCTGTATTACTTTTCTTTTTTTTTAGGCTTTTTTTTTTATTTTCACCTAGTGATCTGGCCAGTAAGTCTGTTTTTTTTTGACAGAACAAGCTATCCTGCAGATACAGCAGTTAGAGGGTTGAGATAAACCTTTTATCACTGACACGGGTGCTTACAATGATCAGCTTTTATTTATTTATATAAAACCTTTATCCAAAAAAGCTGAAATTTGGCTTCAATTTGTTAGTGTATCCAAGTTTGCTAGTGCATCTAACATTCCCATCGTCCCAGACTGACAACCTACCTACCCTAATAGAGGAAGTGTATTACTGGCCACATCACCAGCTGGAACGGAGAGAAAGAGACCTAACAAAAAAGGAAAACTAATGCAGCCATCACATCTAATGATTGATAAGATGCAACATAATACATTTTTGGTTTTGGGTTTAATACCGCTTTAACTCTGTAGGTTGATTAAGAGTCATATGTGTCATAGTTTGAGTTCTGTTTAAAAATCAGCAATGTGCTATAGCTAGAAGATATTAACACACCAACAGCAATTCCAGAATATGAGGTTAGTGTTGCCACAGACGGGCAGATAACTACCTGAAATCGCTAGACGGGGAGATACTCGCCTGACTGTAAACAGGTTGCTTAGGTACTCACCAGATTGGTACAGTGGAATTTAATCAGAATTTTCATCCCTTCCTCTTTCCTTAAAAGAAGATTTCCCTATGTCATCATCACTTTTGGCTGCTGTAGTAACTCGCTTTCGTCACCTTGAAATTTATAATTGGCCTGATAATTGAAAGTCACAATTCACATTGGGAGGCATACTCGACATAAGGCCATTTAAAGACTGAGCGCACAAGGGCGATTTTTACTGGAGCGACCAATTAATTCCAAGTGATAGCTACACATAGGTAACAAAGGAGTATAGCAAATATTAGCAACTGCATGTAGAGTGATCACTAGCAATTCATTTGAGACAGTTGCAGCAATTTTAGTAGCTCAATCTGTTTCTCCTGGATCCCAAATGATCAAGTGAGTTAAGACATTGGGATAGAGGCAGAGCAGTCCACAGACAGTACTTGGAGACCAATAACAAGCGACTGTTAGGCACATTACACACATGGGGCTGTCTAGGAGTGGTGCATCCTTCCTGGTGTATCATCAAAATCTGTACCAATGGCATTCCCTACATCTTGGTGTGCAAGGTGCACATTACACTGTGCATTGCATCCTTCCTGGTGACAAAGGTCTACAATGCATTAGGGAAAACTTACAATGTAGAAAACTTCTTGATGGCTCCATGTGCAAGGTGCACATTACACACGGAGCTGTCTAGTATTGCATCCTTCCTGGTGTATCATCAAAATCTGTACCAATGGTGCCCTCATTTGGGGGCCTGTGCATTCAGGGACAAAGGTCTACAATGTAGAAAACTTCTTCTTGATGGCCCCATGTGCAAGGGGCACATTACACACAGGGCTGTCTAGGAGTAGTGCATCCTTCCTGGCGTATCATCAAAATCTGTACCAATAGTACCCTCATTTGGGGCCCTGTGCATTCAGGGACAACAGTCTACAATGTAGAAATACTTCTTTCTGATGGATCCATGTGCAAGGGGCACATTACACATGGGGCTGTCTAGTAGTGCATCCTTCCTGGTGTATCATCAAAATCTGTACCAATGGTACCCTCATTTGGGGGCCTGTGCATTCAGGGACAAAGGTCTACAATGTAGAAAACTTCTTCTTGATGGCCCCGTGTGCAAGGGGCACATTACACATGGGGCTGTCTAGTAGTGCATCCTTCCTGGTGTATCATCAAAATCGGTACCAATGGTACCCTCATTGGGGGCCTGTGCATTTAGAGACAAAGGTCTACAATGTAGAAAACTTCTTGATGGCCCCCTGTGCAAGGGGCACATTACACACATGGCTGTCTAGGAGTAATGCACCCTTCTTGGCTTATCATCAAAATCTGTACCAATGGTACCCTATTTGGGGGCCTGTGCATTCAGGGACAAAGGTCTACAATGTAGAAAACTTCTTTTGATGGCCCCGTGTGCAAGGGGCCTTAGGCTAGCCATACACATATAGAGGTTGATTTACTAAAACTAAGTGCAAAATTGGGGCTGTTGTGCATGGTAGAAACGCTGCAGAAAAGCATGTATTGCGTTTTTGCTGCTTTTTTATGTGTTTTGCATTTTAAATCTGCCTAGCAACAAGAAAAATAAAAAAAAGAAAAGAAATGCAAAACACATAAAATAAACAGCAAAAACGCAAAACGCAATGCAGAAACAGCTCAAACGTAACCTGCATAGGTGTGAACCTAGCCTTAATCAACACCATAGATTCCTTGCATTCAGCCCCTGTTTAGCATGGATTTAGCGGCTATTGTATTCAAGTAGTTGCAATACCCGTGACCTCTTGAATACCCAACCAGTTTAGGTATTTAATTTTTCAACCAGCGTTGGGTGGTACCATCAGGGCCACCCACAGCTCGAATTTCATCCAGAATCATATGAAATTCGAATTGTGTATGACCAGCTTTAAGGAATGGATGACTGTTAAAGCAGAACTAAACTCTCTTCTTCTTCTTCTGTTGCTTCCTGGTTTCTGGTCTAGGTCAAAATGATGTCATACATTCCAGGAGTCTTCTTGGCCATTTCTTTTCTTTCACCTGGAGGAGGGGAATAGGAGCTTTCTCAGCTGAACGCACTCTCCTGCTTGTGTGCCTGAGCTGAAGGCAGAAGGATTCCAGGAAGTAAATGCTACATAAATCATCTGCCCTTACTCAAGATGGTTGTGGCAAGAAATGCTAAGGGGGTGTTTTTCAAAGTGACTTTTCAACAAAAAAAAAAAAACCACAGAGACATGAATGGATGGGTGAGTTTGCTTTGAATAGAAACACACATGAATTACAATGGTTCTAAAGCCTTAATGTTTTTTTTACCTTAATACATTCTATGCATTAAGATAAAAAGCCATCTGTGCTGCAGGATCTCCCCCAGCCCCTCCCCCTTATTGTTACCTGAGCCCCATCTGATCCAGCGATGTGCATGAGAGCAGTGACTCTCCCTTCTCACTAGGCAGTGGCTCTCCCTGCTCCCTTGGAAGATTGATAGCAACGGGAGCCATTGGCTCCAACTACTGTCAATCAAATGATGTGACAAGGGAGCAGGGGTGGGGCTGAACCACGCACTCTGTGTCAATAAATGCATACAGGGTGCCTTGGGAGCAAGCCCGCATGGGTGTACCCCATGGAAAGTGGCTTTCCACTGGGGCACCCACTGAAGAGGAGGAGCCTGGAGCACCAGCGGGGGATCCCAGAAGAGGAGGATCGGGGCTGCTCTGTGCAAAACCATTGTACAAAGCAGATAAGTATACCAAGTTTGTTATTTTAACCTGTGCACACAAATATATGGCCTCTTGGCGGCTGGGCCTTGGAGCCGAGGGGGCGCATATTTGCGTACCCAATGTAAACAAAAATTGTGCTGAGAGAGCATGCCCTGTATGCTCCCGGCAAATTTACCAGCGCCTCATGGAAAAGTCCTGATCGCTACTTGTAGTTGAGAGCTTTCTAATCATGTCACCCCCTGTGACAGCCAATCATGGCGGTCGCATGCCTCTAAACCCCATCTCCTGGCGTTACAAACCCCTTAAAGGCTCTAAGGGGTTAATTTTGAAAAATTAAAGTTTAATGTTACTTTAACCAAAATTCTCAGTTTGTGGTGCTCAGGTACAGTTTAGCTCCACTTTGAAGAAATGAACCCAAATATCCATGTATAGTACAAGTATTTTGGATTTTCACACTTTTGATATGAACCAAATGGCTCTCAGTGTGTTTTCAATTAGGACAAATTAGGATTGCCTCCATCCAGACACTTTAGCTGTGACTCCATCTCTTGTTTCAGCCCGCAATACACTGCACATAAAGCCTGCACGGAAGTCTAGTAAATCGAAAAGAAGGAGGGGGAAGCGAAAACATTATACGACTTTTCCCAAGATGCTAATTATAATGACGTCTTCATAAATTAAATGGCATTATTGAGCATCTTAAAATAAGAGCTTGTAACAGTTATTAATGTGTTGTTGGATTAGACGGTGAAAGTCACGCTGGGGAAGCAGTGGGTATAATTACAGGTGCGTGGAATACTAAAGCACTCTGTAACATTTAGTGTATCCCACGGTGTCGGGCTTAGACCCTGATTAGAGAGAAAAGGAGCCACGAGAGACATGTATGGAATGGCGTAACTGATTGACTGTTTAAAAGGCATGATGTGCAGCTTGCTTATTATCAAGCTATTTATAAAGGCAATTTATGAATCACACTATGGGACATAATTGGCTATATACGGTGATTCATATAGTGTCATTTTCTCGTAGCATTGTCTCACAAGTATTTAAAATCTTGTCATGTAAATGCACACTCCAGTAATGCATAAAAAAACGTGCGTTTAAAGCTATTCAGGGAGCATAGGCTACCTGCTGAGTGGTACTAATTTTATTCCTGGCATTCATCTTCTGCCCTTGGCTACCCTTCAAGTGCAATCCCACTAGTTTCATGGTCTGCATGTCTCTAAATCCGGGCAAAGTGTGTTCCCTGGTTTATGCCCCGCCTTCTCTCATGGCCCACGGCAGCCTTACCTACACACACTGGAACACACTTTGAAAAGTTTAAAGTAGAATTTGAGGTATCAATGCACTTTAGTTTGTCTAGGACAGTGTGTTTCAACCTTTGTGTTTTTCAACCTTTTTTCAGTCAAGGCACCCTTTAAAATTATGGACACTCCAGAGGCACCCTTTAAAATTATGGACAGTCCAGAGGCACCCTCTAAAATCATGGACAGTCTTGAGGCACCCTTTAAAATTATGGACAGTCCTGAGGCACCCTTTAAAATTATGGACAGTCTCTAGGCACCCTTTAAAATTATGGATAGTCCTGAGGCACCCTTTAAAATTATGGACAGTCCTGAGGCACCCTTTAAAATTATGGACAGTCTCTAGGCACCCTTTAAAATTATGGATAGTCCAGAGGCACCCTTTAAAATTATGGACAGTCCAGATGCACCCTTTAAAATTATGGACAGTCCAGAGGCACCCTTTAAAATTATGGACAGTCCTGAGGCACCCTTTAAAATTATGGACAGTCTCTAGGCACCCTTTAAAATTATGGATAGTTCTGAGGCACCCTTTAAAATTATGGACAGTCCTGAGGCACCCTTTAAAATTATGGACAGTCTCTAGGCATCCTTTAAAATTATGGATAATTCTGAGGCACCCTTTAAAATTATGGACAGTCTCTAGGCACCCTTTAAAATTATGGATAGTTCTGAGGCACCCTTTAAAATTATGGACAGTCCTGAGGCACCCTTTAAAATTATGGACAGTCTCTAGGCACCCTTTAAAATTATGGACAGTCCAGAGGCACCCTTTAAAATTATGGACAGTCCTGAGGCACCCTTTAAAATTATGGACAGTCTCTAGGCACCCTTTAAATTTATGGACAGTCTTGAGGCACCCTTTTTAATTATGGACAGTCCTGAGGCACCCTTTAAAATTATGGACAGTCTCTAGGCACCCTTTAAAATTATGGATAGTCCTGAGGCACCCTTTAAAATTATGGACAATCCTGAGGCACCCTTTAAAATTATGGACAGTCTCTAGGCACCCTTTAAAATTATGGATAGTCCAGGGGCACCCTTTAAAATTATGGACAGTCCAGAGGCACCCTTTAAAATTATGGACAGTCCAGAGGCACCCTTTAAAATTATGGACAGTCCTGAGGCACCCTTTAAAATTATGGACAGTCTCTAGGCACCCTTTAAAATTATGGATAGTTCTGAGGCACCCTTTAAAATTATGGACAGTCCTGAGGCACCCTTTAAAATTATGGACAGTTTCTAGGCACCCTTTAAAATTATGGATAGTTCTGAGGCACCCTTTAAAATTATGGACAGTCCTGAGACACCCTTTAAAATTATGGACAGTCTCTAGGCACCCTTTAAAATTATGGACAGTCCAGAGGCACCCTTTAAAATTATGGACAGTCCTGAGGCACCCTTTAAAATTATGGACAGTCCTGAGGCACCCTTTAAAATTATGGACAGTCCCTAGGCACCCTTCAAAATTATGGACAGTCTTCAGACACCCCATTCTAAAATGGGGTGCCTCCAGACTGTCCTTAATTTTAAAAGGGCACCGCATTCTAAAATGTGAAAAACTATGTGACCCCAGCACTGATGGAGAGGGGTGGGGGAGGGTCAAATTAGGATGCTGTGCAGACAGCTGACATCCTCCTTATCAAATGATGATGTCATTAGTTGTCAGGATGCCGGCACTAGAAGGTTGTGATGGTGCACAATGAAAACCTGTGGCTTTGTGTAACTAAAAGGCAGGCGTGTTCCATCACTGGCTTGTATAAAAATTTGGGGCAATTTTTAGACATTTTGCCAAGGCACCCCTGAAGAAACCTCAAGGCACCCCAGGGTGCCTTGGCTCCTGGTTGAGAAAGGCTGGTCTAGGCCAACCTGGCCCAAATTAACTATTTCCATTTCTAATCAATTTGGCTGATGTGTGTGCTGTCATGCACTGTAGTATCACTAGCTACACACAGTAAGAGGCACTGTGTTCAGGTAGCTGTATTTAGGTCTTGCCATCTGCTGTTGAAATCAAAGAGAGACGGACAGAGTGTTTCTTCACCTTTCAGTAAAAGCCTTGTATTTTTATCAAAGAGTACAAGACTTCCTCAGGTTAGCCAAGGTTTAAATCTTGACATCGGCCAGTCAGAGGAAGTCATTGATAAAAAGGCTTCTACTGAATGGCAGTGAAGCACTCAGTCTAACTTTTTTGCACCATTAGCACAGGTGTTTTGCCATTCTGCAGGTCCCAGCAGCAAGAATTAAATTTCTGCTGCTAGGATTGTGTGCAGATAGCAGCAACCACTGCACACTTTGTCTGTCCAGCCATGATCACCGCAGGTTTCACCTCTGCTGTTGCGAATGACCTTTAGCAGACTCGTAACCACACTCTTGTCTCTGCTGTAAGAAAATGACCCCTAGCAGACTCCATCACACCCATGCTTCTGGTGTTGGGAATGAACCCTGGCATGCTTCTGACCACACACTTGTCTCTGCTGTTGGGAATGACTCCTAGTAGACTCCTTTACTTGTCTCTGGTGGTGGGAATTACCTCTGCTATGTTTCTGCTGTTGGGATTGACCCCTAGTAGATTCCTTACCATATCCTTGTCTCTGGTGTTGGGAATGATTCCTGTGATGTTCCTGACCACACTCTTGTCTCTGCTGTTGGGAATGACTCCAAACAGATTCTTTACCACACCCTTTTCTCTGATGTTGGGAATGGCCCCTGGCATGCTATTGAACACACTCTTGTATCTGCTGTTGGGAATGACCTTTAGCAGACTCGTAACCACACTCTTGTCTCTGCTGTTGGAAAATGGCCCCTAGCAGACTCCACCACACCCATGTTTCTGGTGTTGGGAATGAACCCTGGCATGCTTCTGACCACACACTTGTCTCTGCTGTTGGGAATGACTCCTAGTAGACTCCTTTACTTGTCTCTGGTGGTGGGAATGACCTCTGCTATGTTCCTGACAACACGTTTGTTTCTGCTGTTGGGATTGACTCCTAGTAGACTCCTTACTACATCCTTGTCTCTGGTGTTGGGAATGATTCCTGTGATGTTCCTGACCACACTCTTGTCTCTGCTGTTGGGAACGACTCCTAGCAGATTCTTTACCACACCCTTTTCTCTGATGTTGGGAATGGCCCCTGGCATGCTACTGAACACACTCTTGTATCTGCTGTTGGGAATGTTTCCTAGTAGACTCTTTACCATACCCTTGTCTCTGGTGTTGGAAAATGACCCCTTGTCATGATCCTGACCACACTTTTATTTCTTCTGCTGGGAACGAACTCTAGTAAGATGCTTTACCACACCCCTGTCCCTGGTGTTGGGAATGTCCCCTGTCATTTTCCTGACCATACTCTTCTGTCTGCTGTTGGAAATGTCTCCTAGTAGATTCCTTACTACACCCTTGTCTCTGGTGTTGGGAATGACCCATGGCATGCTCCTGAACACACTCTTGTATCTGTTGTTGGGAATGACTCCTAGTACACTCCTTACTACACCCTTATCTCTGATGTTGGGAATGACCCCTGGCATGCTCCTGAACATACTGTTGTATTGATTGTTGGAAATGATTCCTAGAAGAATCCTTACTAGACCCTTGCCTCTGTTGTTGGGAATGACCCCTGACATGCTCCGGAACACAATCTTGTATCCATTGTTGGGAATGACTCCTAGTAGGGTTCTTGCAACACTCTTATCTCTGATGTTGAGAATGACTTCTGGCATGCTCCTGAACACACTTTTGTATCTGTTGTTGGAAATGACTCCTAGAAGACTGGTTACTATACCCTTGTCTCTGGAGTGGGGAATGACCCCTGGCATGTTCCTAACCACACTCTTTTCTCTGATTTTTTGGGAATGTATCCTAGTAGACTACTTACCATACCTTTGTCTCTGATGTTGGGAATGACCCCGGCATGCTTCTGAACATACTCTTGTATTTGCAGTTGTGAATGACTCTTAGGCTGGCGATACAAAAGTCTTTTTTTTTTTTATTCAACCAGAGGGTCGAATGAAAGAAAATGACTCAATTTCCCCATCCACACACCAATCCCCAATAAAATGACTCAATTTCCCCATACACACGCTCAATGTGAATTGGGGAATCCCTCCCACTGTGTTATTGTATTCTGACAGCTATTTTTTTTGTATTCTGACAGTGGGGAGATTGGCTATAGCTGATGGCACTGATCAAAAGTAAATTTTTCAACTGGCTGGTTGCACACAAGTTGATCAATAGATCCAGCCTGCCCATATATGAATTGAAATTAATCCGATTCAGCAGGGATCCATGTTTGGCCAGCTTTAGTAAACTCCTTACCACATCCTTGTCTTTAGTGCTGGAAATTACCTCTGGCATGCTTCTGACCACACTCTTTTCTTTGTTTTTGGGATTGACCCCTGGGATGTTCATAACCACACTGTTATTATTTGTATTAGGACTATCCCTTAGCACACAGGTGTCAAACTGGCAGCCCTCCAGCTGTTGCCAAACTACAAGTCCCATGAGGCATTGCAAGATTGACAATTACAAGCATGACTCCCAAAGGGAGAGGCGTGATGGGAATTATAGTTTTGCAACAGCTGGAGGGTTTGACACCCCTGTCTTTACAGAATCCTGATCTCAGTCTCAACTCTGCTGTTGGGTATGTAGACTCTTGTAGTAGACTCCTGATCACACTTTTTCCCCTCCTGTTGGTACTGAAAATGTCTTCATGGCTTGTCTCCTGCAAGAATCTTAACTATTTCAGTATTTAACTCTTTCTTGCTGTGAGGATTGTCGGTTATCTTTTAACTCTGAGCCAGACTTCTGATAAGGAATGACCCCCTTAGCCAGACAGGAGTCTATCACCTGAGTACATGATCCCATACCTACAGTGTACCTATAAGGGGGCTGCTATAAATGAAGTGCACTTTTGCAGTGGACATAATGCCTTTGTTGGCAGACAACCCTTCACCCTAAGGTAATAATTAAAATACACTATATTGCCAAACCAATGATTTGGATTGGGAAACCAATCCAAATCATTGGATTCAGGTGTTCCAATCACCTCCATGGTCATGGGTGTATAAAATCAAGCACCTAGGCATGCAGATTGCTTCTACAAACATTTATGAAAAAATGGGTTGCTCTCAGGTTCTCAGTGAATTCAAGCGTGGTACTGTGATAGATTGCCACCTGTGTGATAAGTCCATCCATGAAATTTCCTTGCTACTAAATATTCCACGGTCAACGGTCAGTGGGATTATAACAAAGTGGAAGCTGTGAGGATCGGCTGACATCCATGCCTGACCTCATAAATGCGCTTCTGGAAGAATGGTCAAACATTCTCATAGAAACACTCCTATGCCTTGGGGACAGCCTTCACAGAAGAGTTGAAGCTGTTATAGCTGCAAAGGGCGGGCCAACTCAATATTGAACCCTACGGACTAAGATTGGGATGCCATTAAAGTTAATGTGCGTGTAAAGGCAGGCGTCCCAATACTTTTGGCAATATAGTGTATATAAATACCAAGCCAACAAAAACTGATCTTATGTAAGTTTACTGTTGATGTTTGTCTTGACTGATATTCTACTTTATTGTAAGTATGCACAAGCCTTATTATAAAAAAAAAACAAAAAAAAAACTTGTTTTCTTTCATATTTGTAACTAATCAAAGTACATTTTCCCTTTTTTCTTATAACACCTATCGTCTGCATTCATTAAAATACAGCAAAGTAGTGCAACTGTGTAGATCAAAAACATCATGAAAGCGGGTATGTTGGCACAAGTTGGCATTTCTCATCATGTGCGCATAAAGAAATTAGAGTGCTTGCAAAAATATTTTAATAATATAAATGCAAATATTTTCATCCATCTATCACAAATTAATATGAACTTTTGCATCTTGAAATCTTGAAAAAAAACTCTTATATAATTGCAATTTCTTATATTGAATTCTTCTCCTTAGACTTAAATGAAAAAACTTTACAGGGAAAGTACAACCTATTTCCAGTGAGCACATATTCTGAGTTATTATTGCTATATTAACCTTAAATAATTTTGACTGTGTCTCTTATTTTTGCTATTGTATTAAGTTTAGAGATTGGTAAATTTACCACTAGTGGGAGCTCTCAGTGGTTCTGTGCAATTACTCTTTTTAGTGTATCTTAACCCAAAAACAAAATAATATAATATACTCCAACTTTTCATTCCTTAAATGAGATTGCTGCATTTGGTTTTTCAGGCTTTTTTTTAACCTGGTGATCCTGCAAATAACATCCTGTCCCTGTGTGGCTTCGCTTACTCACTCCCAGGGGCGGACTGACCATTTGGAAACTCGGGCACTGCCCGAGGGCCCGGGGTCAGTAGGGGGCCCCATGAGATGCCCCTGGTACCTTTTTCATAGGCTTTTTTGAGTTTGGGCAAGGACACAGGGGCCCCATGATCCCCTATTGCCCGGGGGCCCCATGAGTTGTCAGTCCGCCCCTGCTCACTCCACTGCATCTCTGAAGGGAATCATGGTTGTCACCTAGGCTGGACTTCAAACATGCCTGCCTTTGTTCATCCCCATTACTTGGGGGATGGGAGAATAATAGTTTACAGAAGGAAGATAACATTGTTTATGCGTTTATTTCATCTCACAGGAAGAGACCAGCATTTGGGAGTTCTACAAAGAGCAACAGGTACTATTTGTACATGAATATAAAAAGCAATTAAAGCAGCGCTCTTCAATTTGATATATCTCTAAATAATATAGGTGAGCGAACACAAACCATAAAATAATGTGAAAAAATAGTATAGTACCAAAATCAGCAAAAAGTTTTTAAATCAAAATATAAAAATATATATAAAAAACAGTGTCCAACAAAAATATATATAATTAATTGTGAAAAAATGTATCGAACAATATAACAAATATAAAAATATGTCCAAACAATTAAAAAAAGTGTCCAAAAAATGTATGCAACAAATTAGTTCGCGTACCAATAAATCTTCTTTAACTTCTCATATAACGTGAAAAACCGTGAAAAATCCACCACCAAATAAATTGAATAAACTCACCAGAGCTCCATGCTGGTAGAATAACAACCAGCTATACTCGCTTGTGCTCTGGGAGCAATAATCTGCAGCAACACACACCAGCTGATGAGAAATCCTTGAAATAGTAATTGGCTCTTCAAAGATACTTCCAAATGGCACTTACTCCTCCAATAATCAGAAACTCGTTAAAATAGCACTTATTCCTCATATAACCAGAATGGGGCATATGAAGAAAAAATGAGGAATCAAAATAGTGTAAAACCATCCAGGCTTTAATGAATGCAAAATGTGTTTAAAACCACTCACATGGATCAGTGTCAGAGCCGACACTAGCATTACAGGCAATACAATCACTTATGACAGGTAAAGCTCCGGTCTAGGCAGACAGCGACAGCTCACCCGTGCATGGTGACGTCACCTCTGAGGCCCCGTCCTACGCGTTTCGTCATCCAACATCCTCCAGGAGATCCTGTGGTTGAAAATCACTCTATCTATGGCCAGCTTTAGAGTCGCTAAACACATTACTATCTGACTATACAATTTCTGTATAAGCAACTTTAGATTTACCAAAATTTTGTAATATGAGGACCTACCTAATCTCTCCAATCAATTTATATCCAATCAGGTAGGCCCTTGCACTACATAGTTGTTGGTAGATTAAAGGAGATAAAGAAGATTGTAGAATAAGATTGTAAGATGTATGGCCAGCTTTATGTCAGTGGCAACAACAGGGTTAAAGTCTAAACTCAACACAAAAGCAATAATATATTGCAGCTTATCAGTCCTTAAATGAAAAAATTAAAATGAAAAAATTTAAACAACACTCTCCAACACCCTATTACTCTACTTGTATTATAGATATACAGACCGTCGCTATACTCAAGTGCAAAAATTAATAAAGCGCAAAAACAAAGTGCTATATCCAAAAACCCTGTACAAATATAATGTATGTCAAACTAATATCAACATATTCTAAAAAATGTGACAGATCATAGAACACCCCCCATCATGCAGTATAAAAACAAAAATATGCCAGTTAGTGCAAAAAATTATATATAACAACAATTACATGTGCAAAAAAACAATATGTATGTATCTTAATAGTCCATAACATAACATGATGCAAGAAAAAAAGAAGTCCTTCAATATGTATTTTTGATTCTTGTGTTTCTTAAAAAATCACCACCACACTGTGTTTATCCACCACCAAACAAATTGAATAAACTCACCAGAGCTCCAGGCTGGTCAAATTATAACCAGATACTGCACATTGGCTCTGGGAGCAACAATCTGCAGTGATGTCAATGACTCCTATAACCTCGTAGCTGGACACTCCTCATACATATACATGGAACCCATATAGAAAGAAAGAAGCAACTTTATTCTATTTTAAAAGATCCACATTACACTCACATTACTTAGTGTCATCACCGAGACTAGTATGATCAGCATATATAAAAAGGGTAGACTCCGGTCACTGCAATCGCCGAAAGCTCACCTGTGCTAACGTGGTGACTTCACCTCTGAAAGCCCTGCCCTACGTGTTTCGTCACCCGACATCCTCCAGGAGTGGAAGGACGTGCGTCTGCATTCGTTTTCTTCAGTTTCTTATTTTCATCTGGTGATCCTGCCAGTAACACACTTCCTTTTTTATGGTGGCCATACATGATTTATAGTTGACAACAGAGGGGAGTGGATTTTGTTTGGTAGCCAAGATACAATCATAACTTGGGATTGTAAATTATCGATTGCATCTGTTTCCACCATGTAATCTCAGATCAATTGAAATATGATCGTATTCATGAACAAAGTATCTCAGTGATGCAACTGATGCAAAACAGTCAGTATTATTCTTCTCTGGCTGATCTTTGTTTGATAATATAGTTTAAGATTTGAGTTCAGTATTGTCATCTCACTACAGAAAGTTATCTGCTTGTGGGCAGGGCTTAACATGCTCAAGTGGGGACTCACTAGCAGCACTCACTGATGCCTAATTATTAGGTTGAGGCTGGCTGTCACTTTGCTCAGAGTTATAGTGGTTCTCCAATTTAGAACCAAGCATGTTCTGCATTCACAGTTAACCTTTTTTTTTGTATGTTTCACTTCTTTATTGTTCACACCTCATTTGGTCTGCTCTTTAAGTTCTCCTAGTGGATACAGCAATTCAGTAGGTACTGCTAAGACTGTACCACACTTCATCAGCACAACCCGACATGTCATCTTGCTCCCTGTGATATTATACTATAAGACCTCCCAGGCACAAAGAAGTCCTTTTTTCACATTTTTCCAAGCTTCTTTAACTCCGAGGCCTCTCGTTCACTACTCCTCTTCCTCAGACTAGGTACTTTGGATGCCCTATGCCATGATATCTGTCCATCAGTATATGGGGCACCGGTCACTAGAAAGGAAGCCAAGCTCGCAAGCCCCCTCTCTGCCAGGGCCTTCCATAACCCATGCCATGTCACTAATGATTCCACCACTGGCTGGTTGCTTAAGCAGGCAACATTACTCTTGTTGCCACTAGCAATGGCAATATAGCCTCTTCTACTTTAGGGAGGTAGAGGGAGGGGAAAGGGAAGAAACAGGGAGATGGTTGGGTTCCTGCAGGCTTGTGTGTAGATAAAGTCAATTATAGGTTGCCCAGACTGGTCAGTTGTAGGGTGGGGAGAGCATGCAACCACCAAGGAGCCCACACTTTAAGGAATCTAGTGTGGGTATCATGTGAGATACTGTTAATTTTTTTGGTAACCATCAGGGTGGTCGAGAAGCTATTCACCACAACAAATAAAACAGATTTCTCCCCAGCCCTGACTATAGCACATTTGGAGGCAATAAAGAGGTAAGTTGCAAGATTCTACTGGTACAAGAAAAAGCCCTGAATTGGGCAATGTAGTAGAGCAAGTATAGCATCTTTACAGATAGGCACATGGAATGGAGTGTAGAGGAGCCTGTTAAATGTGGACAGGACCACCAAATATGAACTACACAATACATCGCCACAACCTTTAATGCACCTAACATTATATGATATGTTCGAACCTGCAATACAAGCCGAGACCCAATAAAATCCTAAAAGGACCTTGCATACAGCCTCCAAGGTGATAGTTTTGAATGAGCATGTTGCTATGGAAGACCAGGCCTTGCTTCAATCCTCAGAGTCAATCAAGGTTCCAAGGTCTTGTTCCCAACAGGATTTCTATGAGGTAGAAATGGGAGTGTCAATGGTGTTCAGGGAGGAATAAATTATTGAAATGGTGCCAGAGGTTCCAGGAGGGTGTGGGCAAGTATATTCAAAGCCTGTTTTTTGATAAGTATAGGTGGTGTTGCATCTCAGGGAGGTCACCCACTTCTGCAGGCAGCACTTCATGTGTCTCCTGAATAGAGGACCATTTAGGATAATTGCAAAACATGAGAAAATGGCGGACATGTGTAAATCTGAGACGACCACCAAGAAAATGCTCTCAGTTGTTTGAAGCCTGGTGGGAAAAGAGGGTTTCTGAAGAATGGAAAGAGGGGTAAAAAGGGGCTTGAGTAACGAACCAAGTCTCAGAGTTTTAGACTGTGTAGCATGAGGTAACTTAGACAGTGTAGGTGGAGCCTGAAGGGAAGCCACAACAGGGCAGATGTTGGAATTGGTGCACAATTGGGGAGTTCCAGGAGTACTCAAAAGGAAACATTCGAAGTAGCATGAAGCAGGGTAAGTTGGGAAATTTGTGCTGCAAAGTAATATTTTGCCATGTTAGGGACCCCAAGCCCTCCTCGTAAGCTGTGTGTGTAAGAGTAGAGTGTAGGACTTTGGGGCGCTTGTAAGCACAGATAAAGGAAAGTATCCTATTCTGTAATAAATGTAAATAGAAGGAGGGAACATGGATGGGCAGGGTACAAAAATAGTATAAGATTTTGGGAAGTACAGTCAACTACATGACATGGGAACTGCCATAAGTGCATGAGGGAGGTGACGGTTCACAGAAGCAGGTAGGGAGGAGACTGCCCAGTGCTATGGGAGGCATATTTGGATTGAGACAAAGTTGAGGGGGGTAAGGAAATGTTTAATGCCGTTGTTTTATGGGGGTTAATCCAAGGTTCGATAGGTCAGAGAAACATGAGCGAAGATGTTGTAGGTTGGACAACTGGATTAGAGGGTTAGTTAAAGTCAACAGCGCATATAAGTTTACTTTGTAATGTACACCCACATATTGGATACCGGAGATGTTAGGGTTATCTCTAAGCACAATAACTGGGGGATCAAGAGCTAGTATAAATAAAGTCGGGGATAAGGGGCACCTCTGTCTAGTGCCTCCATGTATAGGGAAGGGGGGCGAAAAAAAATCCAGCATATTTAAGCTGGGTGGAAGGGGAGGAATAAAGAGCTGAGATCCATGAAAGGATCGAGTCACTAAAGAACAAACAGATCGTAGCATAGCATAAATTTTCCCATGAAAGGGAGTCAAAGACTTTGTAGATG